TGTTAATAACGACAACGATTCTTTTAAGGTGAAAAAGTATTAAATAATGAGGTACGTTGTCCTCTATATTGTGCATATTGAAATAATTACAATTATTTTTGTTTTCAGATGGAGAATGGATAAGAAAACCACAACAACGTATGGAAAACTTAATACTAACAAGATGTCTGTTCCACAACCTGCAAGAAAGTACAAATTTTTACTACGATACGCCTCACATTCCCAACCATGCCAACCGATGGGCCGGCGACCTTCTCTTTCGTTGGGATCGCGTACACAACATAATCCGCATCATATGAGAGGTGAATAGAAAACCAGCTATAGAATCTACTTCAACCGGCCAGTTTATTATTAATTTGCACTACTCATTTAAAAATGCAAAAATCTACATTAGGGTGCACAGATTAATACACATTTTACTGAGTGGATCTGACATAGAATAATTTGTGAAATGAAAACCTACATATAATAATAGTTGATAATATCTGCTAGGGAACATTTATTCGAATAGATGAAATTAGGAATCTTAGTGCAAAAAGTTAAGCGGTAAACACATAGAGTCTAAACACAACCAGAGAGTCTAGAGTCATCGACGGTCGTTTACCGTATGTTTCTTATTGGATACGAGGATTCAGGCCAGTCATGTTAAGTTGGCTTTATTTGAAATGTCAATTTATAAAGGAATATCAGAGTCAAACCTGAATTGGGACGCCTTTCGCATTTTTATTCTTTTACTATGGAAGAAGCCAACTTAACAGGAAATGCTCTTATGTGTTCCGCCCCTTAAGCATATTTCATATTGAGGATCCCATAGGTTTAACAAGAGACGTGTATAGTTGCGAACAAAAATATAGTAAAATTAGTAAAGTCTTGCAGAAGGAGAAACAGAACAATAATTACAAAAAATATATCATTATTATCAACTAACAAACTAACACATTTGATTTGTTCCGTAATTGTCAGATTTTTTGGCTGCTTTTCTACTAATTTCTACATAGAAATATAAGATTATTGCCGGCTGTGGGACAAATTATTATCATATTATTATTATCATCTAACAAACTAACCAATTTTGATCTGTTTCCGTATTCAAAATGTGGCAAATTTTGCCAAGTTTTTGTGTGCTTCTAAAAAGGTCCATGGTAAAATTATACAAAGTATTCTCATGCAGGACATATTTTTGCAATACACACAAAACTTTATTTGAAATTGATATTTGGAGTTACAAATTAAGAATAGTTGCGCCATTATTAATTTCTCAAATGAGACTACCAAGGTCTATATACAAAGGTCATCCAGTAAGTGTAGCTGATTGTGGGACAGATCAAATATCATTACATTATAATATACTAACATATATTAAACAATCAATAGAATTACATAATAATTTTGTTTGTATTACAACCTATTTTACTTTGTGTGATTATAAACATTCTAACGCGTCATCCTACTTAACATGGAATAATTTTCTAAACTGTTTCTTCCGAGCCATCTGAAGTTCAACTAAAAAAACCTTAATAAGACTATCCAGGATTGGGCCAGATATTCGGGAGCGTTCATTCCACCCGACAAAATGGAAATTTTACATGTTTGTAGACAAAAAATTTATAGTATTCGGACAAAATAAAAAATGTGCTCAGACATATATGTTCTAAAAAGAAAGACACTGCAACCAACATCTACAATTCCCTTGTAAATGGTGTTCTATCACACGGCATAACACTTTACGGGTGGACGTCTAAAGGTAATAGGAAAAAATTAATTAGATCTCGTCTTGTATACTGATGGATCTTTTAATGGAATGTCAACATCTTTTTCAGTCGTAAAACAAGTATCAAATTGCATCATTGAAACAATTTACGAACTCCGCTTGTCGCTGTCATATCGGCTATGACATATGCTTCAGGTCTCCGGGGTAAGACGCTAAGGGATCTTTTGATTTAGTTTTGCTTAGAGCATTTGATGTTGTATTGTGGATTCCATCCCACATTGGTATTGCAGGAAATAAATACGCTGACGAATCTGCCAAGCGAGCTCTAAACATTTCGCTAATTTCTGACTTTTTTCCAAAAGCAATATCCTCGCCATACTAACTTCGTATCAACTTCGATCTCTGAAATCGTTTCGGTGTCGTTCCCTCAATAAATAACACTAATTACAATAACACGCACATTCTCATTTATATACTGAGGAATTTGGTCTTAACTTCAAATTTTCATTTGCTTATAAATTTCTTGATCAACGAAAATATTCGGTAAGTTAACGACCAAAAAAGTTATAGGTTGTTTGGAATGAAATTCTGCTAAAAAAAATCTGAATTTTTACTAACGTTTTTGTTTCTGATAATCTGAAAAATTGCATAATTTATAAAATACATTTTTGTCTTTAAAAAATTGTATCCATTTTATTAAAAAAAATCATAGGCATTTATTTTATAATATTAAAAAAATATATATCAGTGCCCTAGGCAAAAATTGTTTTCTTGGCTGTGACATTCAATACTTAAACTCAAGTAACTAAGAAGTTCTGGTTAAGCACTATGTATCTATTCCTGAATATGAATCGAATATAAAATTTTTAATTTTTTCAATTATCTTGTATTATAAATTATTATTATGTCTTTTTATAAATTATATAGTCTTTTTTATAAATAAATGTTGTAATACAACGATGAATAAAATGTCATATAAAAAATGGATTTTAAATGTATGGGGGAAGGGTTAGCCTACGTCAATTTTTTTCTAAAAGCTAAAATGAATTGTGTTAAGTTTTATTCAAATCGCTTTGGTTCGATTTCATATAAAATGTTTCACCCCAAATACTCTACGTTTGTGTAATTACAGCACATTGAGGTGTGCCGCAGGCTCTAAAAGCCATCAAATCTGAGGCCGTCCTCAAGTGTAGAGCAGCAGCTTACAGCTATCGGTTGTGTTGGGTACCAGGACATTGTGACATCTTGGGTAATGAAATAGCGGACGAACTAGCTAGACGAGGATCTCAATCCACAGATCTAGCAATTGATGTCTCAATCAAAGCACCCATATGTCAGCTTTACCGGAACATTGAGGCGTTCTTCGGCGAAAGAGCCTATGAACTTTGGCACAACGAATCTAGGTGCAACGTGTCAAGATCCATTCGGCCGACTCTGTCTACCAAAAGAACGCACTCACTGTTGAAAATGAGCAAAGCTGAAATAAGAGTAATGACAGGAATCTATACTGGTCACTGCAATATCAGGGTCTTTACTAGTAAATGGGGTCTTGATGAGGGAGACAATTGCTTACAGGCGGCACAGACTGGTTGGTGCTCATCTTCTACCGAGTCTTAGCTTCTTCTCAACAACCGAACCTGATCTAATCTACAGCACGATTAGAAAGTGGTTGGGAAAGTGCAACCTTGACACGTAATATATCTTCTGTCTGATCTCTATAGCCATAGACATTATTCCAATCTTACCTTCTAATATCTTTCTGTAAGCTTCTCATCTCTCTTTATTTCCCCAATCTTCTCTCCCCTATAGATCTGTCCTTATCTCTTTCCATCTCGTTGATGATCACAACGGATCTAACGGTCTCAGAGTGCTGCAGCCACATAAGTGACTGCACACCCCCAAAACTAACCTAAATGGACTCCAAATTTTCTGAAACGGATTTGGTCCATAGAAACATGGGGTCTAAAACCAATATTTCGATGAGCCAAATGTATATACCCTCATTAGCCATAAGACTGAGGTTATAAAAATAAAATAGGGAACAAGTCTAGGGCCCCCCTTGCGGAATCGTTTAAAATTTTTTACCACATTGTATACTTTTTTCTTGTGGAAATCGCTATTTCCGGAGATATGGGCCGCCAAAGTTCCGTTGGGGTCCTTGTTTGAGGGTAGCCGACCTTCGGCCAGGGATTTAAGACTTTCTCCTATGGTGGCAGGCGGCAACTCCGGCTACACGATCGAATCTCCTTCTAATATGAATAGTGTTTTTGTAATCAGGACTTCAAATGCTTTAATATAATACCGATATTGCCGAATTACCGATTTCCAAAAAAAAAGGTATACCGCTGTAATCAGGACCCCAATGCCTATATGTGATATAAGTTTCAAAAGGCCCTAAACTATACTTAAGCCGAAACATGGGTCTATAACCAATATTTCGATATGGCACATTTTTGCCGTATCAAAATGAAGTAACGCTCATTAGCCATAAGGCTGAGGGTATAAAACTAAAATAGGTTGGGGAACTTTGAAAGGGGCTATTTTAGATCATCGAATTTTATTCGGGCTTAAGTCTAGTTTAGAACACCCTCGTCGATCCTGATTACAAAAACACTATTCAAATTAAAAAGAGATGCGATCGCGTAGCCGGAGCTGTCACCTGTCCATATGAGAAAGTCTCCAATCGCCGGCCGACACTTTTCTAATTAAAAGGAGATTCGGTCGCGTAGCCGTAGTTACCATCTGTCCATAGGAGAAAGTCTTAAATCTACGACCGAAAGCCGGCTACCCACAAACGCCCATATTGTTTTTCCTAATTGAAGAAGGTTCCTGCGGGATTTCGGAGACTCATATCTATGAAACTATGGACTTATTTAATCAAGGCTTCAAACGCTTTAAATTGATAGAAATTTTTGAAAATCACGAGAAAATACCAGAGTGCCAACGGAACTTTGAAGGCCCTGGCGACAAGTATACCATTGTAACCAGGGCCCCAAGGACTCGATCCACGAAGGGGGCCCTAAACTTGATGTGTTCCAACAATCCATAACCACCAACCCAACCTAAGTCTGTACGATTCAAATCAAGACTTGTGGGCATCATTTCTTTGGCACCCTTTAGTTCTCCCCTAAAATAAACCAACCCCAAACCTCTTCCATCCCGAATTTTCCAAATAAAATAAAGTACCAAATTTTACTTTTAAAAACAAAAGTTAACATTTGTTGTTGTTGTTTTTTTATTAATAAAACTTTATCAAAAAGTTCTCTTCACACTTTATCATTATTTGTAAAAAAAGATAACTGACTTCTTACTCGGCGTCTTCATCTTCATCATCGTTGGAGTTGATTCTGAAGTAACGGAGTTCATAGGAGTCCTTGTCATTGGCGACAACACGGATCCAATCACGCAAACTGTTCTTCTTCAAGTATTTCTTGGTCAAATACTTCAAGTAGGCCTTGGAGAAGTGGACATCGGAGTTGACGTACAACTTCATCTTGACACGTTCGAAGGTGACATTGTTGCCCAAGTTGTTGACTTTGTCGTTGACCTTCATGCGGGCCTTGATGTATTTTTCCTAAAGTAAAATAAAAAAGAAACAAAAAATTATCAAATGTCGGACACAACACATCCGGCAATAACTTTAGAAATCCATCTCTGTTGTCGGGGAGTTAAGAAAATCTCCATTTTCTTGGAATACGACGATTATCTCTTCCATTGTTAAGCTATTAAATCTGGGTAAATAATTTAAAAACCAAATATTGAAAGAGTTTTGATGTTTAATCTGCCACTGAGTACACTGTCCTCAGAGCGAGGGTAATCACTCTCTGAAAACAAATCAGGTCGTGGCCTATATTTTTGGGGGACAGAGATGCATTTCTAAAATATATTTAAAAAATAAAAATAAGTTACAACTAAAAAGCAAGTCTAAATCGTTACCTGTATTGCTTTGCATCACTTCTTTTGTTATTCGTGGGGGGAAGGATGGAAAAATTGCACCTCATTTGGGTGTAACAAAAAAATCACAAATCAAACGACTTTGCTTGCATTTTGATGGGATTCCTGCAACGTCCAACTGGGAAACACGTTTTGGCAGGGCGCACTATGTGTCTTGGCTTAGGCACTTGCGGGTGCAAGTGTACCCAACCCAGGGCCCACCACTTGGCGGTTCACATAGCACGACTTGACATAGTTCACAGCCGGTTGCACCCCTGGCCAGACCCTGTTCTGGCAATCAAGGGCTACCCCGTTG